AGTTCTTCGTTTTTGAAAGTAGTAATTTCGAAACATTTTTCTTACGTAGATTAAGTGGTTCAAAAATGGCAAGGAACTCAGCAACATGATTTATTAACTATTGTATTTATATATATTAACAAATTAATTTAGCTTGGTTTTGTGCAATTAAGTTAGATAAACTAGTTCTTCGTTTTTGAAAGTAGTAATTTCGAAACATTTTTCTTACGTAGATTAAGTGGTTCAAAAATGGCAAGGAACTCAGCAACATGATTTATTAACTATTGTATTTATATATATTAACAAATTAATTTAGCTTGGTTTTGTGCAATTAAGTTAGATAAACTAGTTCTTCGTTTTTGAAAGTAGTAATTTCGAAACATTTTTCTTACGTAGATTAAGTGGTTCAAAAATGGCAAGGAACTCAGCAAGTACGACTACAGTATAGGTTTTGCAGATTCTGTGGTGTCTCTCGAATTACCATCATGTACAGTAGATGATGCTGGCAAGTACACCTGCCGTGCTGTAAATTCACTTGGAGAGGATGAGACAACATGTTTCATTATTGTTGAAGGTGTGTGAAACAGTAATTGTATGTATGTTGTTTAATAGTAGCACATTATATTTGGACTAAATTTGTGACTGTAGGATGGTAATTGAGTATTGGTTTTGAAGAGATTTTTGTGAAATAGAATATACTAAGTTTAACATAGTTTTGTGTAAACACTCAATTATCTGAAGATAACTTAGATGAGCATACTCTTCGTCACAGATCGAAGAGGGCCATCAATAGCCCAGTCTCCGGTAGTGGTCTCTCCTGGAGCAACAACCCCACGTATACCTACACCCACCAAAGCTCCTTTTGCATCTTCTATTAGTGACACTTATAAGCGAGATTACAAACATGACTATTCACAAGATTTCAACTTTTCAACCAGTCGAACATCAGATTATTCAGACAAATACTCCTCTTCGGTGAAAAAGTCATCTGATTATTCCTACTCATCCAAAACCCAGGATTCATCTCAATCTTACAGCTCATTAAAGTCCAGTAGTAAATCAACTACAGCTCAATCACTAGCAGCTGCATCATCTAAACTCTCCGCAGATTCAGAGTTCCTGTTGTCTCCTAAACGTGCTCAGAAGGCTTACGGAAAGAAAGAAGGCACCAGCCCTCAGCGTTCCCGGACAGCAACAAAAGAGCTGGAAAGTAAGTTTTTAAATTACAAGATAAACAATGGCTGTGTTAGGATCTCAGTCAGATTCTAATCTGAGATACAGACTATTCTAAACATTTTGTAAGTCAGCGATATTCTAATGATTAAAAGATATTTACTTTTTAAAAGATATATTTCATATTTTAATGTAATGTCTACTGATATTCCCTAAACCCATATTTTTACATCGAAGAGAGAACGTTAGTCGAAAGAGAGCACGGCCAAATTTTCTAGATGTTAATGACAAAAGTTGATAAGTCCTGACACTTTCTGTAGTTTAATAAGGTACAAGTATTAAATATCGTTTTTTTTTCTTTTCTGAGCAGTATATTAATGTGTTTATTCTGTAAAATTTAATCACCGTATATAAAGGAAGTTTAGAATTATATTCTTATTTTAATGCTAGAAAATGCTGTATATGTGTGAATTAATTGTCTTGAAAAAAGTAAAGTTATTAAGGATAGACTTGACACAAAAACAACAACAGCTATATTAATATATAGGAATGATAAGGGCTGGCTTTGAGGTGTTTTTATGGTTTAATTTAGTGGATAGAACAAACTGGATGGACCAAAAGATTCCTTGTTGTCCTATAATGTAATGTTATATTAAATCTAACAGATGTAAAGAAGCCCTTAAACTAATAATATCAGCCTGCTAAACTGGTAGTGTTTATATACATTCTTGAGAGTAAACTAATACTATCAGTCTGTTGAAATGGTAGTGTTGTATACATTCTTGAGAGTAAACTAATACTATCAGCCTGCTGAACTGGTAGTGTTTGTATACATTCCTGGTAGTAAACTAATACTATCAGCCTGCTGAACTGGTAGTGTTTATATACATTCTTGAAAGTAAACTAATACTATCAGCCTGCTGAACTGGTAGTGTTTGTATACATTCCTGATTGTAAACTAATACTATCAGCCTGTTGAACTGGTAGTGTAGTAAACTAATACTATCAGCCTGCTGAACTGGTAGTGTTTGTATACATTCCTGGTAGTAAACTAATACTATCAGCCTGCTGAACTGGTAGTGTTTGTATACATTCCTGGTAGTAAACTAATACTATCAGTCTCCTGAACTGGTAGTGTTTGTATACATTCCTGGTAGTAAACTAATACTATCAGTCTCCTGAACTGGTAGTGTTTGTATAAATTCTTGAAAGTAAGCTGAGACTATGAGTCAGGTGATTTGGTTTTGTTTTTATTCATTTCTGATGGTAAACTAGTGATGTGGTTTTGTATGTATAAATTTATAAAGATGAACTAAGATTATCAGTCTGTTGAACTGGTATTGTTTGTATATGTATATCCATTTCTGAAGGTAAACTAAAACTGTGTTTTGTTTGTGTATAGGTAAGGCAAGATTATGTTTTGTTTGTGTACATTTCAGAGGGTAATGTAGAACTATATATGTGCCTGGTGTATTAGGATTGTTTGTGTATGGGTAAGGCAAGATTATGTTTTGTTTGTGTACATTCCAGAAGGTAATGTAGAACTATATATGAGCCTGGTGTATTGGGATTGTTTGTGTATGGGTAAGGCAAGATTATGTTTTGTTTGTGTATGGGTAAGGCAAGATTATGTTTTGTTTGTGAACATTCCAGAGGGTACTGTAGAACTATATATGAGTCTGGTGTATTGGGATTGTTTGTGTTCTTCTTGAAGATAAAATAGGACTGTTAAAATAAAGGATTTTTTTTTTCAAAGTTCCCGAAGACAAAGCTATGACACCTCCATCTTTCAAACAAGGACTACAAGATTTGAAGATTAGAGATGGAGAACCACTTATTCTAAAATGTGTCATTGTTGGAGATCCTGAGCCTAAAGTTGAATGGCTTCGGCAGGGCAAGGTAACTTTTTATAATGTACAGCAACATAAATAATATATGGAAATTTCATGACGTGTTTACGTCTAAAAAAGCACTTGTTTTCAGTAACAACAATTATGTAACATGTTCTTGCTAAATTAAGTTTGCAATTATTTCAGAGCATAATATTTTTATTTACTTAGGATTTTGTAAAGATCTGATTCATGTGATTTGTGTTGTAAAAATCTCAAAGTTTTTTAGACTATTCTCAATCTTAAAGAAAATAAATTGTTTACTTATCAAGTAACAAGGGCAGTGCTTCCTGTATTTATGTACCCTTATTATAGATAAAACTAAAGGAAAAATATTATATTTAATCAAAGAGACTTGTATGTTGCTCTGAAACTCATTCACCGATTGACAAAAAAGATGTTGTTTGAGGTGGTACTATCGACTTTAAATCTGTGAATCATAAGATTAGCCTCTGTTTACAGATTAATATTAAAGTCGTCTCAAAGAGATATGCATAGTTTATTATACCAGTATATGAAATATCATCATTGGCCTATCACATATTGTTAAACTTGAAATATAGAATATAATCATAGGAGCTGTTCCCTTAGTGGAATATATATAAATGGGGGTATTATAGCTGTTAGTTATTTATGATATGTTAATTATGATATGACATCCATTCCCTGACTTGAAATATACAAGTTAATCATCAGTGTGTTATGTTGAACACTGTATTCGCTAGTTAATTATGGTATGACATCCATTCTCTGACTTGAAATATACAAGTTAATCATCAGTGTGTTATGTTGAACACTGTATTCGCTAGTGAATTATGGTATGACATCCATTCTCTGACTTGAAATATACAAGTTAATCATCAGTGTGTTATGTTGAACACTGTATTCGCTAGTTAATTATGGTATGACATCCATTCTCTGACTTGAAATATACAAGTTAATCATCAGTGTGTTATGTTGAACAC